TACAAGTAGTTAAAAGAAAGACTAGCATCCATAACACAAGGAGAGATTATGAAACATGAGCAGGTTTAATGAAAAAGAACCAGATAGAAATCCTACAAGTGAAAATGTCATTATTGAAATAAAAATATCAATGGATGAGTTAAATAGTAGACTAGACACAATTGAAGAGAGAGTCAGTGAATTGGAAGATAGAATGGAAGAAATCCACAGGATAAAGAAAAATTTCTTCTATTTTTAGGAAATAGGTATTTCTCTTAAATGCTTTTTTGGGAGGAAAGCTTCCCACCTTAAAACCTAAGAGTCAATGTCCTAAGCAGTCAAGCTTTTGAATCAGCTAATAAGAAGGACTAACATTTATTGGTTGATTAGTGTGTGCCTGTCACTGTTCAAAGTGCTTTACATGAGTCAGGAGCAGTAGGTGGCTCAGGGGTGGGGCTGAGAGGACAGGTAAGTAATTCTGTAGATTGAGAGCAGCTTCTCCACGCACCTGCTGGAGTTCTCCCTGATTTAGTCTTCCCTCTCCTTTTCAATAGCTCCCATTCCCAATCTCTTCTTCCTATTGTTGCTATAGCTTTTTAGGGTATTGTTGGGTCTGTTCACCATCAATTCAACAGTTCAATAACTGGTTTTTTTAATCAAGCAATTTCATTGTGCCAGGTTTATATGTTGTAAAAGCAGGGAACAGACATTGATTAGACATGGAGCTAGGCATCTGAGTGGAGACAAGATACTAATCAATTCATTTTAATTACAGTGTGATGAGTGTTGCCATAGGGATTGTTGCAGGTGCTACAGGAAAATGGTATCCTGAGAATGATGTATCAGAAAACCAGTAGAACTAAGTTAGTGAAAAAATCGGGGGAAGAGTGCAAGGAGTTGACCTTTCTGGTAGTGGGAATGGCATGATCACAGGCATGGGAATATGGAAGTTTGGTGCATGTGGGAAACACTAAGTGCAAGCTTTCCACCCACATCTCATAATCTTGCACCTGAAGTGCAAGCTGGGGAGTGGCTCTCCATTTCACTCTGGACAAAGTCTAAACTCCTTAGCTCTGCTTATGATGTCTTTTATGATCTGGCCCCAGCCTAATCTTTCACCACCTCCCTCACCCACCTTCTAGTCTCCTACCATATTGAACTATCTGCAGTGGCCAGCACAGTGCCTGGCACATAGTGGGCATTCAATACATGTTTGTTGAATGAATAAATGAGTGGCAGAAGAAAAGCATGGAAAGGCACACAGGGGCTGAGCCATGGAGGACTTTGCTTGGAGTGTCCACACCAAGGTACGTGCACCTAGAAAAGGCTACACTGTCTCAGAGGAGTCAGACATTCATCAGAGAATTCAGTTTCTGGGTCTTCGATGTTCAATCTTCTGCTGGAGTGGACTTTGTGTCCTCAGATTATCTCAGTCTTTTCAACTGGATTGGGACTCTTCGAGGTGCCCAATGTCTCATCCAGTGCTAGACGTAAGTAAGTGCTGAATTAAATCTATTTGTAGGAAGAGCTGGAATTGCCTCTTTGCATCTCCACAGGAAGGGAAAACATGGATTTGATACAGGAATGCCTGTCTAACCATTAGAGTAACCACAAATGCTGAACTTTGAAGCCAGTTTCCCCTGCTCTGGCTCAACCACTGCTTGGGAGGCAACAGCAGACACAGATGTCAGGGTGGCATCCCTGGAGGCCCAGGAAAGGGTGTGTATCCCCCAAACCTGGCTACACCAGGGTTGTCCCACCTTCTCCCCAGCCAGTGGTATAAGGCTGTTGGGCAGCGATGGGTAGAATAGGCCCTGTGAGGGTCACAGGAGTTCAGGCACTTTCCTCTATTAGCCTGATTGAGTCAGACTGAGAGCAGGGAGCCTGAGGCAGAAGGATAGAGCTTTCTTCTTTGCAAGTTCAGCAGCAGAGCAGCAAGATATTTCACTTCCCTGAGATTGGTTTCCTAAAAAATTATGAGATGTGGGTGGAAAGCCCTCAGAACACCAACAGCAGGAAGCAGAGGAACGTATCGGTTGCGTTGCTTGTCAATCACTTAGCATTTACTGAGTACTCACTATATACTAGGTCTGCATTCAGTGCTATGAGACACAGACATGTGACATATGAACACAGACAGGACAGACAAGATCAACACACCTGAAAGCAAACAGGAAAAATTTAGAATGAAGTCCTTACTGGAAATAATTTATACATGGAAGCTGTATGGTAGAGGAGTTAAGAGCAACAATTTGGGGTTAGGCTAATCCGAGCTTGCTTTGAATCTGAACTCCACCAGATAGACTGTGTGATTATGAGCCAGTTACTTCACCTCTGAACCTTGGTTTTCTCATTTGTGAAATAGAAATCGTACTGTGTACCTATTTTGTCGTCGTGAGGACTCAATGAGATAAAGAATGTCCAGCATGCGGGTCAGGAGTGCCAGCTCTGGTTACACTGCTGGGGCTCAGATCTCGATTCCATCACTTCCTTCCTAGCTGTGGCCTTGGGCAAGTTACTTAATCTCAGTTTCCGATTTCCCATTCTTAGGATAACAACAGTATCTACACTACTGGGTTGGCATGAGGCTTAAATGAGTTTTGTCTCACATAAAGCTCTTAGAATAATCTTGGAACATGGTAAGAGCTCAGTAAATCTTGGATGTTTCTGACAGCACATGCCCTCCTGCCTGGCTCAATGAATGGAAGCTGTTATAATTATCAGAAAGATGTAGATCAATCAGTGTTATCAGGAAAAGCTCAGGAAAAAGAGGCCTAGAAGGGGAGCAGAAACAGAGAGGAAGGAGGAAGGCACATCTGAGGGGGAACAGATTAAGCAAACGCTTTGGAAATTGGACAGCGAGACTGGCCTGACCAGAGGCTATGCCAGGGAGGAGTGGGATGGCTGCGTCTTGTTTAAAATTAACTCTCAAAAGTTCTTTAAAATATTCAGTTTCTACACCATGGTGCCAATACCAATAGCCACCCCTTACTGGGCACTTGCATGGTGCTAAGTGCTTCATATTTTTTATCTCCTCTAATTCACACAGCAATTCCCTGTGAAAAGTAGTAGTTCTTATCCGTCTCATATCAGTTTTTTTCAGTGAGAAAGAAATTCAGCTCAGAGCTAAATGACTTGTTCAAGATCTCCTTGCCAGTAAGAGGCAGGACTAAGATTTGAACCCAGGTTTGTTGAACCCACTCTGGGGTTCTCTGCAACAGGAACGGCCCCATCACAAAGGAGTTGCTACAGGCTCCAGAGAGCCAAAGTTCTGGGGGAAGTTACCCTGGAAGCTCTGAGGCCGCTGTGTATGTGGAACAGAGGGACACTAACAGCCGCCGCTGATACTGGAGAGCTGGGCTCCAAGTTCCACTCCCAGCAAGTTGGTTCCAGTGTCTAGTCCAGTGCAAGTCAGACCTTTAACCTGTTTAGTGAGTAAGCTCCACAGAGCTCTGGGATGGCAGCAACCGGGCAGGGCAGCTACAAGGCAGGGGTGGGAAAGACAGCTGCCCGGGGCCTGTTGGTGCCTGTCCCCACCTGCCTGCCTCTGCGTCATCACAGGGCTCTGACATGACCCGCCCTGCAGGAGGTTCACACACGTGGTCACACAGTGCAGCTTCCCACCACGCCTGATTTGAAGCAGCATCTGAAATGAGGCTGGGAACGAGGCCTTGGAAGCAATTCCCAGTCATTTCAAAGAAAAGTCAAGCTCTTTCACCTTCCTTTCAGATAAGGAGAGTCACGCTTGTCCCTGCCTTGTATAAAACCGGTTTGAAACTGCCTCATTCAGTGTTGGCTGACTGTTCCTACTTTTAAAAGGTCCAGAGCAGGAAAATAGTTGCTCACACAAAAACCTACATGTGAGTATTATTGCAGCTTTATCATAATCTCCAAAAGCTGGAAATGTCCCAGTGTCCTCCAAAAGGCGAACAGACGACGGAACACTATTCAGCAATAAAAAGTAAGGAACGGCTGATGCACATGACACGGCGAGTCTCAAGTGCCTTATGTTAAGTGAAAGAAGCCGGACTCAAGAGGCCGTATACTATCTAATTCCACTTATATGACAATATGGAAAAGGAAAAACTGTAGGGACAGGGAACATATCCGTGGTTGCCCAGAGTTAAGGGTTGGGGGAGGTTTGACTGCAAAGGGGTAGCAAGAGGGGTTCTTTTTGGGATGATGGAAGTTTTACCTTGATTGTTGTGGTGGCTGCATGACTCTAAGCATTTGTCAAAACCCACAGAACTGCACACTCAAGAGTGAATTTCACTGTACATAAATTAAAAAAAAATAAGCAACTGTTGACGGTTTTAGGAAAACAAATTGTGGCTAGATGGGAAAGCAGGAAACTATAACTACACACGCATTAATTTATAAGGATCCCCCTAGTGAATAAAGCTCACTTTATTAAGAAACAAATGAGCTTGCTGTCCTAAAAATATACCTGATAACTGTAATTACTTGGACTTCAGGTGCATAAAAGGCAGAGAGTTCACAGGTATGTCTGATCACTCAGCTGCTTCTAAATTACAGTCTATGCTAGAACCAAACTCTCCAAGTTCAGTGAGCCAATATTTTAGATGATCGGTGTCTGATAATGTTCTAGGAAAGCCCACACAAATGCTGTCTTCGGTGGCATCTGTCCCAAAGGAAACACTCAACTTAGTATTGGTTTGACTCTGCCCCAGGCTCTCCACAAAGCTTGCCTGAATGAACTTTAGGATCAGGGCTTACCCAAGGGGGTGTCACTTTGCGGCTTGTTCTTCCTTTTCTGGGAAGGTCAATGATAGAGCAAACTCTGAACATGGGCTGTGAATCTTTCCTGGCTAAATGTGTCAAGCTAATAAGTCCATCAACATAAAACCTAGCGATGGATTGTTTCTCCCGCCTTGCTGTTGTGGAAAGGAAGGTGGAGACAGCCTAGGACTCGGGCAGAGCAGATCCAGAGTTACAACTGGGTTTTAGAGCTGTCCACATCAGCCAAGTTCTAAAGAAAGAAAAATCACACTATAAACCTATTTGCTCATAAACAACTTTTATTTTTGTTTTCAGTATGTGCCCTTGAAGATTCCAAAATATTGGAGTTTCTGATTCTCCTGGGACCAAAGGTAAAAGCATTGTATGGAAACATTCAACCCTGGCTCATTTCTCTCTCCGAGGAGCTAAGTCTGAGGGCCTCAGAGAGAGGGAGCTGACACTCACACCTTATTCCGAGATGGGTAACACGGCGAACAAAGAATTAGTAAAACATAGACTCAGTCTGTAGAGGGCTTCAAATATACATATTCTATATATATAAACCTGTTACATAAGATTTCAACTTATTGGTTTCCTTGTGATTTGTAATTAAAGTACAAATGATAAAGATGTTGCACACTGCTGATTTCCCCTTCTCAGCCCCCCTCCCTCCCCAACATAAATAACATTACAAAGGTCAGGTGATCCTAAGAGTTTTGTTGTTGTAAATATTTTGTTTGTAAAATCATTCCCCCTTTTTCCCCTGCAAACTACCTCTGAGAGTTTGTAACATAGCAGCATGGAACGGACAAGACTGGGGACAGCACGGAGATCTAACGGCGAGAGTGCAGAACATTGCTTCTCACTGACTGGCACCAAATGGGCTTTTGCATTTCCATTGACAACAGAGGCTACGACAGGAAGCTGAGAATGTGCAAGGTGGTTTCGTTCTCCTCCAAAGAGGAGGCCGGCTGGACCACTGAGAAAAGCCCTAAAGGCATCGAGGTTTTGGAAACAGAGCACAGCTCCAGAAAAGTCTTGGCTCAGTATTTACATAATATCTTTAAGCTGCATTTTCCTTTTAAGAAATTTGTTTCTGAAGATGTCTCTTTTGAGGTTGGTTGGGGGAAAGAAGGAACTTAAAAAACATAAACAAACCAATTCCCACATATGTAAAAGTCCTGTTATAAGTCTTACTCGGTTATTTTCAAACACATCATTAAAAGTAGATACTGACAATGATTGGTTTCTTTTCTTATTCTTTTTTTTAAGAGCATGAGTAAAGAGAAAGAGAGGAAGAAGTACACTAAGGAGAACGCCGCCCCTTCTTCAGCATTAAGTGACATTGGATGGTCTGGATTCGGTTCTTGGCTGGGACAAACTCAGGCTGCAGCTTCAGTGTTGATTCATACCACACCAGTGCTTTTTCAAATTCTTCCTGTGAGGGGCAGAGACAAAAGTGAGAGGGATGGCACCGCCAGACTACGTATATACTGTGACCTCTTTTTTCTTGAAAAGCACCTCTGCGCTAGTGACAATCCTGCAGCATTTTCTCAATGGATCTAAGTCTCTTTGGAAAACTCTGAGGCTCCTCTGGGAGGAGACAGCCACTTCCATCCCCAAGGTACAACATCGCAAAGAAGCCCAACAACCAAAAAGACATAGATCAGCTTTTACAAACCCAGTGGCAGGAATGGTCGTGGTAGTAATAAGAACTAATGTTACTGAGTACCTGAAATGTGCCAGGCACTGTGCTGGGTGCTTTATGAAATCCTTCCATTTAATCCTCACGGAAACCTCTAGAACCATGCCTGGCAAATGCTCAGTATGCATCTGTCTAAATTTTCTACTGTAGGGAAAGATGGAAGTACAGTCAGGTATTTATGTGACTTACAAATTCTGAATAGATTTTTATTCTCTCTTTTAAAAATACTAACAGGGCTTGGGAAATGATCGCTGCCATATTGAAGATGTTATTCTTTTTCTTAAGACTAATACTCTCAAAGAAGAGCCCAAACACACAACTTCCCATTCACAGTAGCAAATTTCACATTTATTGAGGGCAAAACCAGATTCTTCAATCTTAAGAAGCAGAGAGGGAAATCTGCACATTCAGCAATATCTACCTGGCAAAATTATACTTCCTGCCTCTGAAGTCAAGGATAATGCATAAAGCTTGCAGCCCAGGACTGCTCGCTCTATTAGCTGTTATTGAGAGCATCCTGGGACTAGCCCATGTGTGACACCATGCTTTAGGTGAAAGCGAAAGGCATGATGCTCATGTTAAAATCGATGATGACAGCTTTTAGGGGTATCCCTGGGATTTTCAGTTCTGAAACTGGTCTTTGTTTCGGATCAGAATAAGGGATATGGATGATGACTTTGCCATTTTCTCTGTATATGGTATCTCATGAAACTAGTGGAATTTCATCATTTGTTAACTACTTGCTGAGCACCTACTGTGTGCCAAACACTGCGATGTGCTGGGAATAGGAAAATAAAGAGGAATCTTATTGCTGAGGAGCTTGTAGTCTAGAGGGAGAGACAAACACTTAAACAAAAAATTACAAATCAAGGTGCAAATACAGCAAGAGAAATATGCGCAGGGTGTCATGAGTGCAGTGACAGGTACCTAATCCAACCTGGAAACAAGACAGCAAGACATTCAACCGTGTCTATATGGAGTGTTAGGAGAGGTTTTTTGGAACAGGTGGTGTCTCCAGGAAATGGTAGGTAAATCTGATTCTACTATTAGTGTTAAACTCAAGGTGAGGAACTACAGAGCTGCAAATACTTAGATGAATTTCATGTATTATTTTAAAAAAACCCTCCCAAGCCTCTTATCTATAAAACACACCCTTGGTGGAGCTAGCAACTTTAGGTAGAACACTGGAGGACAGTGACATATTCAAAGAAATTCTGAAATCAAAGATGTGCCACAGCAGGATCAGTATGTTCTGCTCACACCTCCAGCCCTCACCATGGCCACGTAGACGTTGCCCAGCGTGAAGTGGTTCACAGCAAAGTGTGGCGCAATCTCTACTGCCATGGTGGCTACTATGACGGCGTCGTTCCAGAGCTTGGCATTGTGCAAGATGTTGGCCAGGCTAATCAGGGGCACATCCTGGGAGAAGAACGGAAAATGGCAAGAAGGGAGTATTAGGGTTTGAGCTTCCATTCTTGGTTTTTGTGATCACAAAGAATGCAGCCAGAGTTTCCTGGGAAATAACAGAGTACTGCAACTCAGGGTGCTTGTCTGCTGTTACTAGTGGTCTGTGATAGATAAGGAGCTTGTACCAGAATGTAAATCAATTACGTCTTTCATTGACAAAGTCTTGCCTCATAAAACAAAACAAAAATGTCAGCTGAAGTAAAACAATCTGCTGAGTAACGTAGTTGGTTTATTTTGGTGCAGCTCCTTGTCTCGTTGCAGAGTGGTAGTAAAAAGTCTGGGTACTGTCCACAGACAACACTTGAGTCATGCTGTCATAAAGCCAAAGCACTATTAATATCTGCAAGACCACTGTATAGTCCATCTAAAGCAGAGGCTGGCAAACCGGCCCACAGGCCAAATCCAGCCTGCTGTCTGTTCCTATAGTTTTATTAGAACACAACCATTCCCATTCCTTTCTATATTTCTGTGGCTGTTTTCATACTACAATGGTTGAATCAAGTAGTTGCAACAGAGGCTGTCTGGCCCGCAGAACCAAAATGTTCTACTATCTTGCCCTTTACAGAACATCTGCTGAACCCAGAGGTAGTCTTGGCCCTTTCCTGTTGCCTAACAGGAAGAGTACAGAATGATGGATTGAATAAGTAGCAATATTATTATCATCACAAATATTTATTCCCTTTAAATATGTCACCTGAGCAACTGCTGCCTATATCACACTGTACTGGCTTCTGTAGGAGACAAAGAAACAGAAAAAAAAGAACCCATCTTTGCCTTTACTGAACATCCATAGGGTGAATGTCCTTAGATGGGCTCATCAAAGTTCAATTACGTGCCTAAGTTCACAAAGCTAGCAAGAGGCAGAGCTGTGTTTGGAACTCAGCAATGCCTGACAGCAAAGCTTGTGTTCCTTCCACCATTCCATATACTGCCCGGATGAGCAAAGAAGACATAAACCACGTCTTTAGGAAGTATGAGATCTGGATTAACACAGAACTCTGCACACGTGGATACAAATGTGCTGTAAACACATTGTACATTCTCAGCCATCATAACAAAAACTGGCCTTCTGGAAAAGAGTGATGTTACACAGGCTTAACTGGGCATTATTTTTTCTTTCTGTGGAAAAGGAGAAGTCAGACAACGACCAGGAATTGCTTAATGCATATGAAGGAATGGAAATTTGCTTCTATCTCTGTGCCTGCAAACAAGCTCAAGTCAAGAGTATAAGCAAAACAGGTCTAACAGGCCT